ATATGCACAATGAGCTTTGGGTGCTTAACATAATACACGTTATGTATGTGTATATTATGTTTATATAACCGATACGTACACATTTCCATAAACCAAGCCTGAAATTGCTGTGTGCAAGAAAGTTTCAAGGGACAAATGAAAGCAATACCTAAGGTGTGTGCTGTACTGTAAATAGCAATCAACTGCATTATTTTATTTTATCTGCCATTTTAGGATAAGGCTGCCCTCTGGTGGGCATCACACACAATACCGTCAAACCAGCTCATTTATTAGCAGGCAAATGAGTTTGAGGTGAAACTGCCAGGAAGATGAGTGTTGAAAGCTCTTTGGAAAAAGGATTAAGGCTGTTTTGTGGCATTCTGCCAACCGCACAAGTGAGGAAAGTTTTTAAAGCCACAGAGCTTGAATCTCTTCACTGTTTTTTTACTCAATGCATGCTTCAGATTGACTGATTTGTCCCGCAAGTTAACATGATCGACCATTAGAAAACAAAGCACAACACACACAAATGGCTAGGCCTACTTGATTCTATTTCAGACCCTTCAAAACAAGATTCCTTGTATATTGGTGTGCATTATCTACGCCAATCAGACATTCTATCTAAACTTTAAAAATGTAGGTTTGTTTGAGAAAAACAAAAACAAAACAGTTTTCTTCAACAAAATGCATTTTTTTTAGTAATCTAAAGAATCTTTTTCCTCTAGAAAGAGGATTTTTGGATATTAAAGAGCCTCCATTAAACCATACACCCCCAAAAAAAATATTTTTAAGAGTGTGAGCATGTTTTTAATAGATTTATAGATTCTTTCAGGACTGTGAAACACTCAGAATACACACAAAGGGAGATTCTCAGCCTTTTCAATTATTGCAAGTCTGTCTGTATTATACTGTAAATCTATCAAGGATTCAAAAATTGAGATAATATTCACATCAGACAGATCACATCAGAACTTGCTCCGGGAGTGTTAAGGTTTGCGTAATAACTGCGGTTTGGGTTTGCAGACAAAGAAAGGGGTGGTCCTCTCGGGCCATGTCTGTGCTGCTGCCGCCGAGACACAGACGGAGAGAAGGCACGGGGCCAAAGTTGTGGGGCCTGGAGCAGGATCACAGCAGCGCCTTTTTCTGTGAGATCAAGCTTTCAGGTTCACATGGGACTGAGTCTAAACAGCTGTTGAGCAAACGCTAACAATTCCATTTTTCCTTCCTGTTCTTTTGATTTTTAACGCAATAAACGCAAACCCTTGTTGACTGTTTCACTACGGATACTTTATTAAAAGTAGCACATTTGAACTAATAAAAAAATATTCATTCGAATTTTATATTTCAATTTTATTTCGTATTTGATATACCAACCTGAAGTCTTCTATTGATATGAAGAAAAACAGAATTGATATGAACAAAAACAAAAAACAACAATCTGGAAAAAAACATTCGAAAACTTTTGGGACATTTCATAAAATTAATTTGAAAAAAATTCAACTAAAACCATTAAAAATCTTGCGTTTTAGTAGCTGCTATGGGAACTTTTTTCCATCAACTTGATGTAGGCTACTAAAATAAACTAATAAAATTTAAAACAAAATATTAAGATAAAAAGAAACTACATCTCAATAATATTTAATGGTTCAGGCTAATGTGGAAAGAGAAAGAAATCAGGAAAATGAAAGAAGACTTGGAATATATAAGTGCAAAAAGATTGGAAACACATGTACAGAAAAATCACTGCTGTGGGCAGAGAGTTCCTCAGGGGCTCAAATGTAAAAAAGGGACACATGTATATATATATATATATATATATATATATATATATATATATATATATATGCTTAATAAAATTATATTAAAAATGATATTTAAAAAAAATATATTTAAAAAAAACATTGATCAAATATATGCAGGCTTGAGTGCGACTTCTTTGTTTGTGCAAATTTTTGACCAATACTGTGTAGCCTACTATATACTATTCCTGCAAAATTATCAAATATTTTCAAATAATATAAAGTCACCATTTGACGTGTTGTTGTCAGCCTACATTTCACATTATAGACTTCACATTGTCCAATGAAATTTGAACTTCTTGTGCCAGATGACGATTGGTCGGACAAACAGGCTTCAATGAATTATGTCATATTTTAAAATATCTGGATTTTAAATTGAATCGACACACAACCTATTATTGAAAAAAAAAAGTTTACAAATTGTTTGGTTTATTTTTTTTCTCACTGAAAGAACCATATTTGGCTCGAGAACATATCGGTTCCCGAACAGACTGTGGGATACCAAACGTTACGTTTACACTAGTTCATTTTCATTTTAAAAAGCATAACTTTAGCAATATGCTGCTTAGCATGTCAGAACACCGGCGTCCACACACTACTCCGGGGTCTTAGACTCTCGAAAACGGAGACTGACCCGACGCAACGACACCTCAGATAGAAATGTAAAAAAATAAACGCGAATTTAGGCTACTGTACTTTTGTACACATTGTCATGTTAATTATAATCAAATGCCTGGGCAGAGACAATTTGTTGGTGGCCTGTTCACTGCTATAGATAAGGCCCAAACATGACCATGTTTGTTTGTTAGCCAGTTCCTCTAAAACTAGTTTAAAATATGATGGATGAATATAAGACTACAAAAACTGTGAAATTCACTTACTGAAAGCGTCCAGAGTTGTCAGCATACGGATGAAATGAAAGTGCCGTAAATCCTTGCAAAAAAAAAAAAAATGTCCGTGACTCCTCACAAAAACAGCTAGGCCCATTTCTTTCGAAGCAAACTTTAAATAACTCACCCCAGAAAAAGCTTTGCCACTCAGTATAAAATATTAATGTAAGCATTAAGCAGTGTTTCTGTAAAGCATTTTAACAGCAGCGCTTTAATGTGTGAGGACATAAAAAGATTTAGGCCTAGCGTTAGGCCTACCGCGAAGCAAAATAATAGCTCGCGCTGTAGTTAAAGGAGTAGTTCACTTAAAAAAAAAAAAAACTTTTACTGATAATTTACTCACCCCCATGTCATCCAAGATGTATATGTCTTTCTTTCTTCAGTCGAAAAGAAATGAAGGTTTTTGATGAAAACATTCCAGGATTTTTTCCATATAATGGACTTCATTGGGAACCAAACGGTTCAAGGTCCAAATGAGAGTTTCAATGCAGCTTCAAAGGGCTTTAAATGACACCAGACGACGAATAAGGGTCTTATCTAGCGAAACGATCAAAAATAAATAAAAAAGTTTAAATTTCATAAGCACAATTGCTCAAGCGTTCGTGACTCTCCTGTTCAAACTCGTTCATCAAAATGAACAAATCTTTTTTCGGGTCATGACTTGAAGGGTCCTAGATAAGACGCTTATTCATCGTCTGATGTCATTTAAAGCCGTTTGAAGCTGCACTGAAACTCTCATTTGGAACTTGAATAGTTTGGTTCCCAATGAAGTCCATTATATGGAGAAAATCTTGGAATGTTTTCATCAAAAACCTTAATTTCTTTTCAACTGAAGAAAGAAAGACGTGGACATCTTGGATGACATGGGGGTGAGTAAATTATCAGCAAAAGTTACTACTCCTTTAAATTCATAAAAGATATTCTCTTATGAACCAGTTATTTTTGGTGAGTCAGAAACACTCCGCAAAACCAGTAATTGCAATTGACAAAAATGATAGCTTCTCAATACTTTATTTTTCTTTTGCAATTCTTTATTTTTGTTTGCAAAACAATTTTTTTTTTTTTTTGCTCAATACTTTATTTTTCTTTCAGTGAAGATTCAAGTTGGACTTGTCTGCAAAAACCACATTGTAAGATTAATTTCAGTTGGAGCACTAATCACCCACATTGGGCATTGTGACTATTTGTATTTAATTATAGTATAGATGATTGAATGCTTGTTTGCTTTGTTGTTGCCACCCCTACCAGTCCTCATGCCAACCCATAAATAATTTTCTATGCTCCAGAATGAATGTAATGCAGAACATGTTGAAGATCAGCACCCAGTCACACAAAAGAATGCTTTTGCACACAGAGACATCTCCATTGACGTACATTCCAATAGAAAGGCCTCGTCTGTCTAATCTACATTTTTAGCTGGACGCTCTGGGAGAATCTGTTTAACAATCACACTCTCTGCAACACTTTTGCTTATTTAAGCTTTCTACAAACTACTATGTGTATCCTTACATTATTCTGAGAATGACACACAAATGTAGACAAATAGTGGCAAATATAAATGCTTTTTGCCTCTAAATGTGACACATAAGTGAAAATTGGGTTTGAACAGCTTATAAGACTTCAAACACTCAAAATCCAAAAGGTGAAACATCCTACTGCTTTTCGCAGAAATAAATAATTGAAAATTGGCTCAGGCCCATTTGTTCCTCTGTGTTTACAACCCTGACCCTAAGCAACGTTAGACAAAACATTACTCGGAGGGTCACAAGGAACATTTTAAATTGTTTTCTTATTAGTAAAGGATAGAGGAACTCCACAGCTGAATTGCAGATGTTATTTGAAAACACATTTTTCTCCGTTTAACTACTAGGCTAGCATATTTTACCTTACATTTGAACCCAATACACATTTTTCTAGGACTGTCAATCGAAGATTAATCGCATCCAAAATAAAAGTTTGTGTTTACATAATATATGTGGGTGCACTGTGTATACACACACACACACACATATATATATATACACATGCATGTATATTTAAGAAAAATTATTTTTTATACAATAAATATTTATATATAATACAAATTATATATAAATCTATATACAGTATATACATGAGAATATTTTCTTAAATATATACAAGCATGTTTGTGTATTTATATATATATAATAATTATACACAGTGCACCCACATATATTATGTAAACACAAACTTTTATTTTGGATGCAATTAATTGCAATTTATCGTTTGACAACCCTACATTTTTCCCCACTTTTTTTTAAAATCACTCGCCCACTAGCCATCCCCATGCAATTAACATCTTTCAGAAAAATCAGATTAAAATGTTTTAATGTTGCAAGGTCAAAGGTCAAAATATGTCCATCTGCCCATGAGGTTAGCTCTTATTTGTATTGCACTTCTAATGACTGAACAAACAGTTACTAAATATACACATCCATTCTTTGGCACTGCTGGCACTATAGTGTCTTTCCATATCTAAAATATAGAATTAAAACAAAAAACAAAACAAAAAATAGATACAAATTTGATCAAATATGATCAATTTTATGAGCAAAGCTATGATATGTTTCATAATGACTTTTAAAGGTTTTTGCTCTTTTCTTTCTCCACAAAGAAAAACTGTTATTACGATTTCATAATTAATTTAAATAAAAGCACCAATGAAACCAATAACAACCATTTCAACGTGTAGAGTGTAAGCAGACTAACAGTTAGTTTGCAATCTCATCTGTTACATTTTCTCTTTAAATGTACCTTCATGCAAAGTAATTAAAGGGACAGTTCGCCAAAAAAGAAAATCATTTGATTACCTTAATGTTGCATCACCAATGAAACCAATAACAACCATTTCAACGTGTAGAGTGTAAGCAGACTAACAGTTAGTTTGCAATCTCATCTGTTACATTTTCTCTTTAAATGTACCTTCATGCAAAGTAATTAAAGAGACAGTTCGCCAAAAAAGAAAATCATTTGATTACCTTAATGTTGCATGCAAAATACATTGGGACAGTGTGCAATATCAGTCTTTTGAACCCAAAACTTACCTTTTTATTATGGCTCATCAATTCACTAAGCGAATCTACCATAATATTTGTGTCTAAAAAGACTTGTAGATGTAATCTACTTGTAATACTAAGTTTATCTGCACCAAGTACCAAAGAAAATTATAGGCATCAAACCAAATGATAAGGCTACACAAAGTTTATACTTGCTTTTTCTCAAGATGGTTTCCCATTATATTCCCAGGGTTCACTGAGCTGACGCTCACCCTTGTACTGTTTGAGGTAGGCAGAGATATGTTGACCACTCCATTGTCCACTACAGATTCACCACTCTCTTGAGTTTTAAAATATACCACATAGAATATTGGTAGAACAATGCCAATGAGTAACATGGCAACTACAGCGTTCCACCACTGGATCCCCCAGTCCGCACCATAGCTGCGCAAGCGCTGGCTTCTCCATCCCCATCGTCTGGATACCCTGGAATCACCCGGAAATACCTCTTCTGAGGGGTCTGTGCTTTGGATCAGACGCTCAATGTCATTGTCTACTTCTTTAAGGTAATTGGTGAACTCCTGCACCTGAGGTCTCCCCGAGACGCTCGCGTCAGCGCTGTTTGATGATGCTGCATCGAGGGGCGGTCTTTGCTGGGGATTCCTGAGCTCAGAGTTGGCCTCGGTTAGCAGACTATGCTTCTTTACAGGGATTTTGATGGACTTCAGTGCATACATGTCCTGCTCTTGAAAAAGGTTGTTCACTCTTTTTATGTCAGCCACCTGAAACCATAGAGAACGATTATTTTTAAGGACCTAAATCATACAACATACACAATTCTGCACAATATAAATGTTAATGAATATGAGAAGGACCTACACAATCAAACTAGATACCTTGCATCCATACTGAAGGGCCAGTTTGCTGAGATTGTCCTCATGGGAAATGTCCCGTTCTAGCAAAAGCATTTCGCCCACTCTTTCTCTCTCCTGTGAGGATGAATCTCGGCTCCGTGGCCGGAGCTCCATGACATTGAGTTCCTCATCCTCAGATGACGCTTCCGGTTCTTCTTGTCTGTGTCTGAACATGTACACCTGGCCATCCACACTGGCGTGTACATCCACTGGAGCCTGGAAGGCTCCAGGGAGAGGATCTCCACGCCTCATCACTGCAACTACACATATTCCTAAAATAATTTATATGGCCTTACATTTACACTACCGCTCCATTTTTTCTCTTTTTTAAAAAAAAAGAAAAAGAAAGAAATTAACACTTTATTAACCAAGGATTCATTCAAATGATCAAAAGTTATAGTGAAGATATTCAGACAATCATTAGAATGATTTTTGAAGGATCATTTGACACTGAAGACTAGAGTAACGGTCTTTCTTAACAATTTATTTTTTTAAATAACAATTGCAATAATTTTCCACAATACTGTTTTTACTATATTTTTTTATCAAATAAATGCAGCCTTTAAGTATTGCTTTCAAAAAGATCAAAACATTTTTTCCAAACTTTTGAATGGTAGTATATGTGTTCTTTTTTGGACTTTTATGGCTCATAAGTTATTTTTATTATTAGAAATGTATACTTGCATTGATTTTAGCTTTTTTTCCACAAAACATTATTGGAAAAATTCCCCATCCCCATATTTTCATATAATTTAATAATACTTATACCGTTATCCCAAAACCTCAAACCAAAAAAGAGAATATCACTTGTAAATGGAATATTATTATTGCAATCAAGCATTAATTTTGTCAATTTATGCAAAAGGTGTGAAACTATTATTTAATTCTCTGTTTTAAGATACATAAAACTTAATAATGCTATAATCTGCCTTATAAATGCAAAGGTGTTGCATTTTCACATTTAAAGGGTAATTTCCTGTTACTTTCAATACAAAATTATTAAACACAACACATTATTTAGATTGCTCTGGAAATGGCATTGTGGGAATGTTCATGACTGCCAGAAAATTAATGTATCCTGTGTTGCATGTATGTGTTAGAAATTGATTACTTAAAAATAAATAACCTATGTGGGGTGTGATACACGTGTTGTTAAGATTGAGATTAAACTTATTTTCTACAGGATCACAAGTTCCCATAGTTGTAGAAGAGCCATATTATTTGAATAACTTTTGCAGAGAGACAGCAGTGTGATCTGCAGTCAGTTCATCATAGCAGGCAAAGATTCATTTTATATATATATATATATATAAAAAAATAAAAAAATAAAAAAAAGTTAGACACTAAACTGAGAAACATAATGCAAAATGTGAACAAAACAAAACAGTGCATCATTGTCCATAATTATACATCTAACGTTACTAAACTCAGTGGTACTATTTGTACGTCAGGAAAATCAGAGTTGATCTTTTATGTTATTATTATAATCTGTAACGTTAACTTGACCAACCACTGACACGTTACATTTAATAACATTGTCTGAAAAGTTTTCCCCCTCCCAAATTGCACAGAACACAATACAAAAATAAACAAATCAAACCTTACATTTGTTAAGAAGAAAATGGAGTATGTGTAGCGCTATAGTAAACACAGAGGTTTCCAAAGGTTACAAAGGTTACAGTAGCAGACAAGTTTCGTTAATTTTATGGTTTCAACCTCGAAGTTAAAGTCTGATTTTCCATAATTTTCCCAGTTATTGATATGAATCTGAATAACACTCACCTTTCTAGACAAAAACAGCAACATTGTGCCGACAAAAATATCCCAAAGTGTCATTTTAGAAACTTCATACCGCAACTGAGTTTGATAGTGCTGGCGAGTGGCGAGGGATCGAGTGTTGATTGACAGCTCCCCGGGCCAATCAGCTCGTTGAAGAAGGAGAGTCATCTACGCCTTCTTTTACATAAGTGGTTGTGTGAGGCGAGCGAAACGATATTCTTTGGCAGCTAATGACATCTTTGTTTCTAAATCAAAATCTCAAATCAGGCGTTTAGCCTATAATGGTTAAGTGACATAGTGGATTATCTGGATTGACAAGCGGTTTCCTAAAACTACAAACTTTATGTCAATCTTGTAAGGTGTGGTTGAGAATACGGAGTCTCCTACTACGTGTCACGACAGGATGTTGTAATTGACAGAAGGTCAGACCTGTAGACGTAATCTAGTTGTGAAAAAAAAAAAAAAAAAAAAAAAAAAAATCTAGTTGTGATACACTCTTTCTTTCTTTCTTTCTTTCTTTCTTTCTTTCTTTCTTTCTTTCTTTCTTTCTTTCTTTCTTTCTTTCTTTCTTTCTTTCTTTCTTTCTTTCTTTCTTTCTTTCTTTCTTTCTTTCTTTCTTTCTTTCTTTCTTTCTTTCTTTGACTGCTCCATGTTGAAAATTTTTACTTCAAAACATGAGGCTATTCCATGTTGAAAACAAATTATAACTTTGTGAAAAACGTAGGCCTAAATACTTGATTCCCAGAAAGCCAAAAAGTTCAAAATAACAGCAATGCTTTGAAATCTAAATATTTTGGAGCACTGTAAATGTCTACTGCTACTTTTGACACTTTATTACTTCTATATGTAGCTACACACACACACACGCACACACAGTCATAGGCTTACAGTTTAAAATGACATTATGGTGATTTAATGATGACAGATCTATCCTTCCTTTTAATAAATGAGAAGAACATATAGCTAATACATAAAAATGTGTATGACATAAATATCTACATGCAAACCTACAGATCACCCTGTAATAAATGTGCTGGCAGTGCCTAAACTAAAGTATCTTTTCAATCAGACAGCATTTCTCAGCTTGACCTCGAGATGGCGCCAAATATCTTCAGTAGTTTCAAACCAATTTGTTCAAGGATGGTTCACAGTAATGCGTTTTAAACCTCTATTTGCCAAAGGTCCATGTCCCTCATTCACATCCTTTGTCAGAATATTCTTTTTCAGTATCAGAGGAACTTGTCCACCCCAGTCCAGGAGTCAATTACCATGGCAGTGCTATTGAGGTGCTTCAGGTAGCCTTAAAACACAGGTCAGCGCTCAGGCTCAGCGGTTTATGATGGAGGACATGAGCCTGCCGTAGTGGCCACATTCAGACACTGATGTAGGGAGCCCGGAGTCATTTGTCAGTCCTCTAGTGGGTTTCGTCTAAAGTTAACAGATCCCTCTGATCCACAAAAACATTAAGCAGCACAACTGTTTTCATTATCATAATAATGAGAAATTATTCTTGAGCACCAAATCAGAATGATTTCTGAAGGATCATTTGACACTAAAGAGAGAAGTATATTGATGCAGGAAATTCAGATTGCATTAAGAGTATAAATTACATTTTAAAATAAATTAAAATATAAAACAGTATTATAATTATTTTATGATATTGCTGTATTTTTGATTAAATAAACTTTTTTTCCCTACATGTGACACTGAATTGAGCTGTGTGAAAAAGTCAGATCTTTTCAAATCCAACTAAGACCAGGATAACCTGGGTGTGAACTCTCAAATCTCAATGAATTACATCACACATTACTGTGTAGGAGCAAATGTCTGTCATCATTCAATGCACACTGTGTCTTACCAGACGCATTTATGATGAACGTCAAAGGTCACCGCAGCAATGTAAACAGTGGAAGAAAAACTTCAGATAATCAGAGGTAATCAAAGTGATGAGCAATTCCCAGGAAATGTATTTCAACAAGTTATGTCATTTTTACTTTTAGAAAATAAAAATAATATAGCATGCAGTTTTATCAACAGTCTCTTAGAACCAACAGTGCTAGTTTAAGTCATACTTTAGGCCTATATTTAATGAAATGGACTTTCTTATTATATAACTGCTCAAAGCCAATGACAAGCAAATATGCCATTCACGCACCATAGTACAGTTAACCTTCCCCATGCAATCCTTCCAAGAACTGGGCATGTGTGCATTCTCAGTGGCAGATTACACAGACGACATGATCTGATGAGCATACAAGCTGTTATCTGGGTCAGTGCTAGTCTCCAATTTCACGCCCTGAAACATCCATCATATCTGTATTGTTTAGTGACTTTCGTTTTTTCATTGCAAAAGCAAACTGTCACCAAATTTTCTTGACCATTTCTATATGTTAGCTTGTATGTTTAGCATGTGTTTTGAAGTGTAGCATGCTAACGACTGCAGTGGAGCCTGAGCTAATTGAAGCTTTGCATATTTCACTGCTTTCCACTCCTATGAACTGTTGACATTTAACTGACCTCATGATTTATATATAGCTTGTGTGAGCCATTTAAGCTTTTAAAAAATACATAAAATGATTTATATATAATATAGCCTATATAGAGCCTATGTCATGTATTGCGTTTTACCATCGACTTAGGCTACAACTAAATTCTTACAACACAACCCTTCCAAAATGAGCAATCAACTGACCTTCAGTTGACCCCATATGGTGCTGCAAAAAAATCGTAAGCACAGCACTTAACTACAGCTGACCTATTTTTACATAAATGCACTGTGAGAATTTTAACACTTCTTTCTGACCCGAAAAACATTTTCTTACCATAAGTTTTACATCAAGTACAGTAGATGCGTCACTGATTTAAGGAAACAGATAGCAGCTGGACAATATTTTTTATCATCTTGACAACATCTTCGTCCAATGCAACAACCTCCCTGAAGGGGAAGCAGGAGCAAATGTGACAAAACAAAAATTAGCACAGAGCAGCACATCATATCATTTACATCACATTCAGATGCAGGGTGCAACTCTGAACACGGTGCAACAGAGTGGCATAACATGCTGTGTTTCTGGGCCACCGAGCAGCATGTCAAACTGACAGAGAGAACAAAAAGATGGAGAGAGACACACACAGAGAGAGAGGAAGGTCAGATGCAATGTAACAATGAATAATTTGCCGATAGTATGGTTAAAGACCAACAGAATTTCAATCATGATGTAGCTATACTACATCTGTCAATTATATATCTATTTACATATCTACCTACATAGGCATATGAATATATATATACTGTGTGTATGTAAATATTAGGGCTGTCAAGCGATTAATCGAGATTAATCACATCCAAAATAAAAGTTTACGTTTACATAATGTATATAATATATATATATATATATATATATATATATATAATGTGTATAATTATTTTATATATATAAATACACACACATGCCTGTATATATTTAAGAAATATTTGTATGTATATACTGTATATAGATTTATATATGATATTGTAAATAGAAATATTTTATAGATAAATAATATTTTTTTTCTTTCTTAAATATACATGCATGCATATGTATTTATATATATACAAAATAATTATACACGGTCCACCCACATATATTATGTAAACACAAACTTTTATTTTGGATGTGATTAATCGTTTGACAGCCCTAAATATATATAATGGTACTGAAATTAACCTAGGAAACATATTACATTGTAATTTAAGTATTGCTGTCATTTACACACACACACACATACACATTAAACCCAAAATATAGATATTTAATAAATAATTTCTAATAAATATAATAAATAAATAAATAATAATCTCCTTTTAATAAATAGGAATAAATTGTGAAACAGATTTATTTTGACTCCAGAGCAAATAGAAAAGACACTGAGGTAAAAACATTACAGACCACAACAATTTGTTTGAAATTATTAGCTTATAATATTTAATTTAGGATGTGTTTGAGTGCACATTCTTGCATTTTCATCTGATCCGTTTCCACCTCTAGATGGCAGCATAGTCCCTTGTATTTAAAATCTATTTTCTAACATACTACAGAGTTTAAAGATAAAAAAAACAAAAACAAATCCATTATATTAAGCTACATATATTGCAGATATTGATGCGTGTGTATACATTTGATCCACATTCTATGCCTTTTATGTATTAGGCTATCTTCTTTATATCCTACTAAATCGAATCTAATCTCCATAACCCTATAACAGACCTACACAATTTCAAAGATAGATTTCAGACAGCCAATTACGTAAACACTTTTAAAAAATGCATGTATAGGCTTATTTATGAGGGGAAGTGTTTTTGTTTGTTTGTGCTCGCTGCAGGTCCGTGTCCATGTTTCTGGCACAGGTGATTTGCCGATCAGCGTGAGGCCAGTCGTTTTGTCTGCGGGGGGTCATCGGAGGCAGTGTGGGGAAACAAAATTAATCCTCGTGGCTCTAGGTTATGGCAACAGGTCAGGAGTTTATTGATTAAATGTCAGCTACCCAGGTGAATGTGATTCGTAACTCTGAGGAGGCCCCTCCACACGATCCATCACATGATACCCAAAGGAAGATTAAAGGCCTTACGACAGACTAAACACTTTGAGCCCGGATGAAGGTTCTGCCGTCCATGCGTTCGTCTATCTATCCATCTGCTCCAGACTTCAAACCTCAAGTCTTCAATGTCAGAACTCATAATCCCCCAAACGGCCACCCGTTCCCTCGAGAAAGGTGCGTGTGCCATCATCATAAGAGAATTTGATTGACAAGTGCAAGGCCCAAGGTTAATGGTGTTGACACAGAAACCATTCGATGGGTTACGGGCTAGAATGAGAGTTCTGAAGATCATGCTCTCTTTGTCAAATTAAACTCTTTGCATTTGGTCCCTGTTGAACATGTGGAGCAGGGCTGTCGGCGGGATGCGCGTCCTTAGGGTCATGGGCAAGTTATCCACTGACTCCAGCCGTCCAGAGGATGCGCCACGAGCGGTCGCAAACTCGTATTTGGCCCCACGGCACCCACGGAGCCCCAGTTGGTCGGTCTCTTTACCCTAGAGGTAGGTTCACAGGCTATATGGACTCCGCAGTGGCTCGGAGCGCTGGGTGACACATAACCTTGCCCTGTCACCACCCTCACCAGTGTGTCGGCTGATATTAGACTGATTGACGTTGACCCGCCACTCATGGCTCTGAGGGTTTAGCGGCGCTATATAACCTCGCCCTGACTGTTCAGCAGGCCGAGGACATTGGAAGCAGGGCAT